TTAACTAAAACACATATTTTTTCGCTTTAGATAATCCTGTAAGGAACTATTCTGCCAACGTGGGCGCATATTTTTCCGAGGAGTCACCGGAAGTGGCGTAGCAATGGCCGAGTTTAAAATATTTTTTTCCAAAAATTTCACATATTTTTTGGTAATAATGTACGTTCAAATAAAATATCTTATTTTTTGTATAAGAAAAAAAATTGAAAAAAGGCTGCTTTTAGCCGAGGAAGCCCAATCAAACCATTAAGGTAGGTGGTATGAGAGTATTTCAAGGAAATAATGTGATGATAATGTGAATGAGAACGCTAATAATACGGAAAAATTTTCAAACAATTATAACCAGCACTTCTCACAAGTAACAACAAAAATAATCCAGACACATATGACAGCTAATGTTCTTTATTACCCTCCGTGAATTATATTTTCTTCAATTTCATGTACTAGTATAATGAATATTTTCTAGAACAATCATACAGAATTAATAATTTTTCCGAGCAATTTTATTAAAATGCAAATAATAACATATTCTAAACTCTTTCTAATTGCTTTCTGCATTAATAATGAGTCAAATTCGAACTTCACTACAGGGTTTTACAAGCTTTAAGTCACTTTACGTAGGTTGCCTATTATATTTCGGAATAGTGTTGCTTTCTAGCAACTCACACCCTTATTGTAAACTTAGAAATTTTTGATGTTATTTGGATAAACTCAGAATGTTTTGAGAATCAAGCGCTATTTGTCTTGTTTACTATCACTTAAAATATAAATTGTGAATTCAATCGAGGTCGTAGATAACTTAAAGACGGATTTCGGGAAGGTCGTCTAAAGTCAGTTGTTGTTCCGGAAACCATTTGAAGCTGTGTGCAAATTGATATTGCAAGATCGTCATGTGAGGTTGAGACAACTATAGGCATTAGTGAGACTTGCATACATTTAATATTACCTGAACATTTGACTTAACAAAAAAAAAACAATTTTTGTTCAGGTTTGATCCCAAACTAATTTGTCAATCGCTCAAAATCAGACTCATGTCGATTGGTCGAGAAAACTGTTTAAAAATTCGTTAGCAGTGCTTCTGAACATGTCTACGACATCGTGACAGATGCCGAATCGTGGATTTACATGCACCAGCCCGAAAGTAAACATTAGTCGACTGTATATGTGGTGGATGGGCCGAATCCAGCAAAAGTTGTTCGCGCACGAAACACTTCCAGGTAACGGGTTACCAGCACTTTTTGGAAAAACTGGAGGCGTTGCAACTTTTCCAATAGAGCAACGCGGAACACTAAATTATGAATGGTAAACAACCATTTGTTTGTCACTTTTCTTTCTAGAAATTAAGAAAACCAATAGTCAAAGACGTATCACTCTTCCCCACGACAACGGGAGCCCTCATACATCGGCTGAAAGAACTGTATCGATTTTATGAGTCATCCACCATACAGTCCTGATTTGGAAACGAATGACTCATTTTTATTTTCGTACGTAAAAGATAAAAAAGATTTTATAAATGTATTGATGCATTCAGAACACATGTTTTGGAAGAATCTCAATCAGAGCGGCAAAAGTGCTACGACAATTGATTCAAATGAATGCGAAATTGTATCGATCTTAATTCAGAATATCTTGAAAAAGCAATAAAACGATTTTCGATGTTTAATGTTTGTTTTCGCTCTCTAAAGCCTAAATATAAAAGACAACCCTCGTAGAAGCCAACTTTATGCGAAGCTCTTGGCTTTCAGCACATATTCAGCTTACGAGGATGATTTTTGAAAAAATTTTCGAAAGCAAAAGCGCCAAAAACATGGTATGCAGTTTCAGCAAGACATTTTTGTGAAATGAAGACTTTGTTTTCAACGAGCGCGCTATGTTCATTTATATATCTTTAACAGGATTGGAAAAGACCAAAGCGACCACAGTTTTTATAATTTTACTCCTATTTTGACTATGATTAATCACAAATGTAACCAATCAGATGTTTTCTTATACTAGCCAGTGAGTTCAAAATGCGAAACGTAAAAATCCACTGCCATAAATATATATACCTCTACCTTAAATATTATATATTAGTCACATACCAGTTCCATATGGTTAAAAGATTTTATAAATATATTGAAAACTGTTTCATAACATTGCGATAGCCATACAGCAATTACTGGTTTATATTTTTTGTCCACTAATAATATAATTTAAGTGGAATATGGTAGATAGCTCGATAAATTAAAAGAGTGGCGACAATTTCCGTTGCCAACTATTACTAATTAATAATATTAATATTAATGACTGAGAGTTGGAATTTTTTGCCTAATAAGTTGATTGCAATTCTTTCAGTCAGTTTAAAATTGTTAACTCTTGTTTGTCCAGGTTGATTTTTATAAAAACGTGTAAATGCTAATTACAACTAACTAATGTAGTCAATCAGACTAATTAAGTATCGAATTATTACTTACTGGCTCAGTTAAATTTCACATATTTATGACAGTCTATATTTAGTAGATCAAAGCGAAAAATAGTATACGAAGTAATTGCCAGAGTATTACTATATATTACTTCAGCTATGAATATGTGACAGCTTGATTTTGGGCGTAAAATGGGAGTTACAGGGTGCTAAGGTTTTAATGATTTTGTGATTAACGATTTTAAGATAGTGTGCTCTTTTTTGAAAATTCCTGAATTGAATTTGAGTTTAATTTCTGTAAACTTACGAAATGTCTATTTATATTTAACATTATTTTCGATTCACAGATTTCGCTCTTCGATCGACTGAAAAAGGATTCAACTATGCAGCAATATCAGCTTGAGGAACAAGAAAAAATCAGGCGGAGCCAAATTTGGCCAATTCCGGCCGTTTTCAATAAAGCGTGTTCAAAGAGGCCGGTTTACGGTTCTATAATATTTTTGAAAAAAATTCGGCTTTATCGGAAGAAGTCGAACAAGTACGCATTTCGTACCCAAAATATTCACCAAAATCATTTGAACGGACTCGCGAGATATATCGATGTCACTAACTCTTGCCTTACGATTTTCAAGCACCATTTCCCTCACTTTATTTTTAATATTTTCAGCAGTTAAAGAGGTCGAAGATCGTCCAGAACTAGGCTAGTCTTCACTGACTGCGGACTTGAGGACTTTGAACAACAAGTTTATTTAAAATGCTGTGTTTCCAATATAAAGTAGATGTTGCAGTTTTATGAAATCTACTTTATCAAGAACGCAAGAAGTTGAGTGACACAAAGTACCAGTAAAGGAACGTCATCGCAAACTTGCCTCATCCGAGTGTCTATCCATCTCTGTTAATGACAATGACATCAAAATGTTGTGGCTTTAACCCTGCTTGAAAAACATAGTTTTGGTTTTGGTTCATTTTTTGGATAGGAACGTACCAATGCTAGACTCGCAAACGAGATGCCTGATAACATAACTGTGGACCCTAAAGTCACAAAGTTCATCATAACTGATGGCAAGACGTGGCTTGATGAACATGAAGTCGAAACTATCGAACAATCTAGCGCTTCGTGCTCTTAAAATTAGCCGAAACTGAAAGAATCAAACTTCGTTGAAGGCACTGAATTCATCCATTCCCGCCAAGGTATATAAAAAGTTTTTCTATAAAAATATATATATCGTCACTTAAAATCCAAAATAATGTATTATCAAAAAAAAAAAAAAAAAACCAAAAATCGCTGTCAGCTATAATAACCAATATATAACGGCTTTATAACCAAAACTTCAATTATGTTTCAGTATATAATGACTAATATATAACAGCTTTATAACCAAAACTCAATTTTTTATATTATGAGTCTTTTCAATTCTATGGCTTTTCAGAATAGTTATATCAACGTTTTGGCCGTTTCAAATTTCTTACTTTATGAGAAATATAATCTTACAGTCTAAATACTAATAACTTATTTATTGCAGTATAATCCCACTAATGTCTGGTAATATTTGCACTGTTATTATTATTATTTTTTCGTAAGTTAACAAACGAATAATTATGTATGCATCGAAGTATAGATAAAATTAGATGGCTCTGCCTGCTTTTATGCCACAAAAATTCTATTGTCTGCTTTGTAAGAATAATTACACGCTAAAGTGCCAACAGCAATTACGCCGGCGCACTTAACTCTTACGACCTTACAATATTTTATAGCAATGCGCAAAAACACAAATGAATAAAGCGGTGGAAGATGTAGCAGAAACTGAAAGAATTGGCAAATACAAAAAAAGCACAGCAAAAAGAATGGGACTAAAGATCTAAAGATGAGTGTAATGATGAACCGCCTACGCGCGCCAAATTTAGATATATGTATGTGTAAATATATATGTTTATGTGTGTATGTACGTACATGTGTCTTCGCACAAACAGTCATTTGCAAAATCTCGCACTGTCAGCCGGCGTAACAATCATTTTATGGTAGGCAAATAAATTTTGCATACACGCAACCACCTTGCATTGTCTCTCTGCCTTTTTCGGCATAGCCGTTAGCATGCACAGTTATTGCACGACTGTACACGCACCGCCTTTTGCATTCGCAGTATTGCACAGCTTATGCAAATAGTCACGATTGTGCAATGCGCAAAAATATTAGCAGCAGACGGCTGCACAAACACATGCCGGTTGCTCATACGCAGCGGCGGTCGCAAAGAAAAACCTGCGAATTGTTCGGTATTGTGGCTTTTTTCAAGCAATATTAAGCAACACAGCTGGTAATTAGTGACTCGCAAAGCTACAGTAAGTTTATTTCACACATACATACATGTGTATAATGTCGGTRTGTAAGTGTGATGCGCCGTTAAGCCAAAGAAAGGACAGGAAGTCATCGAAGTAGGTAAATAGTAGCGCTTGTTTATTTCGCGTAGGTGTAAAATTCGTAATTTCCTCAGTTTTTACGCTAATTACTTGTATTGTTTGTGTGATAGTGCGCTGCTATTAACTGTTTCTGTTTGGCTTTCATGCTAATTGTCTTATTGACTACATACATAAGTGTACTTACTTTGATGAGGTGTAAATGTAAAAAACAACTGTGATTCACTTGTGACAACAGCTCAGCTGATCGCCTGAGGGTGACATTGGCCTGAAAGAAAAATACAAATATATACATACATATGTTTATAAAACAAATTAGTGGAAGTTAATAATCCATAAGTTTTCATGTCATTTTGACATTCCCTGGCATGTTAGTTGTAAATTTTAATTAACAAATATATTTAAACTTAAGTTCCTAGAAAATTTAAGTAAGTATACATATGTTCACAAAACAATGCACTAGTAATTACTTTTATATATTATATATACATAAGCATGTATCCGACTTTAATAACTTCGAACGTGAATTTTCTCACAAATCTCCGGCATGCCGCTTTTGTCGCTGTAGTTATCGCGCTATTTAAATGCAAAGCTTGTGCTGCGCATATTTTCAGCTGTTTTCAATTGAATATAAATCGCTTTGGGTAAGGCTAAATTCCATATAGGGCAGACAGGCGGTCGTGATTGCTTTAAGGTAGCTTTTAGGTGCAAGGTAGTTCCCACAGAGTATTCTATAAAATGTACTCAGCGCTGAAAGTGAATATTGTGGTTTTTACATGCAGCATGCAAAGTTTTGAGCTTTAAGGTGACCACAAAAAAAAATTGTATTATTTTCGATTTGAAAATAATCGACGTACATATATATTATACATATGTATATACGAGTATTTAACTACGTTTTAAGAATTTATTTT